TTTTAAAGATGATAGCGTATGTACAATGCGACTTGCAGTGCTGCAAAAGGGGACGAGATAGACTTCTATTTCTATAGGAGTTTTTCCAAACACAGTTTTATTGAAACTATTTGTATACTTACGATGAAGAATCATTTTTGAATGTTTTTCTATCTCTAGTTAAAATTCCACTTCTCCTATCAATGTTTGAGAATATGATGGATATGATGGATAGTCTCGTGTGTTGTAAAGTAAACTAGATTTTGATCCGCGCTTTAAAAACGTAGATATAGTTTTACCATTTGGTTAAACAAAAAATAGTTTTACCATTTTTGTATATTTTTCTATTTCTAGTTAAAATTCCACTTCTCCTATCAATGTTTGAGAATATGATGGATATGATGGATAGTCTCTCGTGTTATAAGGTAAACTAAATTTTGACGCGCACTTTAAAACACAGATATAGTTTTACCATTTTGATAAATATTTATTTGAATTAATTATTTAAAGACAAAAAGTTAAAAATGTTCTATTAATATTTAAAATTGTTCAGTTATAGTGGTGATTTTCACGTAGTGTTTTCATATCTGACCTAGGCCCATAGATGAACCGGTATATCCCATAATAAAAAAATATTAATTAAAATTTTGATAAACCCGATAAATATCTTTAAACTCGCTGTTAATCTGCAATATGATATTCGTTGATCCGTCTAAAACCCCATAAAACTGATAATTTTTTTTAATTAATTAAATAGCTCATACTTTTAATATTAAAGAAAACTTATTTTTTCGTAATTTCTTTAATGAAATTTTTCTTGTTTTGAAAAAAATGAAACAATGGTAATAGAAAAAAAAAACAAAATCTATTCATATAACAATATTAGTTTGTTTTCGTTATTAATTACCTACGATAAGTTTACCTTTTTACTTGTTTTATATCTTAAAATTATTTATAAGAAAATGAATTGACATACTAATACTATGGATAAAATAACATAGTAAATAATAATTTTTAATTTTGATCGCTAAAGAATATTATGCACGAAAATATGATATTAAAATTAAATATAAAATATAATTATCATAAAAATAAAATTATTATTAATCAAATTATCAATTACCATAAATATAGAAAATATTTAGTTGTTTAGTTAATTAAAAATTATAAAAAAATAGAAAATAGTATTATCTTATAAATATGATGAAAACCTAAGGACATAATCCAAATTTTTAAAATATGATCATGCTTTAATAGTATAGATTTATACAGTTGAACTCCTTCAAAACATTAAGCAAGAGTCTTGGATAAGTTGTATTATGAAACAATGAAATATACTATAATCGAAATAACTAGAACAAATCTTGCCTACTATATTTCAAAAAAAAAATTAAAATTATATATATATATATATAAGAATTGAAAATTCTGTCTCCCTATACTATATATCGTGTTGATTTTATTGTACAGATTGACAACAATTACATATCATAATATGCATCCTAGATGTGAATATTATTGGGATATTACCCGCTCAAAAGATTAATCTCACTGAAATATATTCAATATTATATAATTACATGTCGAAAGCTTAACGTACAATAGTACTGACTAGAAAAATGTGTAATCCCATGAAAGATATGTTGATCATTAACTCTAGGACTGGGCAAATAAAACGAACCCGAAAACCCGATCAGATAAAAATGAATCAGAACTGATTAGAACCCGACTTAAATACCGAATAGATCTTATTTTATGGTATTTTGGGTTATGGGTACTATCCAAACCGAACCCAAAATTAAATGGATATCTGATAGAATCTGAAACATTCAAAAATTTTAATAAGGAAGTGTAACAAATATGATATTAATTCCTAATATATATCTAAAATACTTTAAGATATTATTAAACATCTAAAATAATGATCTATTATATGAAGGTTGATGGTTGAAAGTGGCGGTTGAAAATTGAAATTTTTAGATTAAGTTTTTGTTTTTATTGAATAATGTTTCTCACTTTTTAAGAACTTAGTTTTTGTTTTAGGTTTTCATTTATTTGGTTTTCTTTCTATTAATAGTTATATTTACCTTTCATTTGATTTTTAATTATCACGTTTGATTTTCCTTTCTTATTTTTAAATCAATTTTTTTTATGTTTTGGTTACAAAATAGTTACAAATCATGTATTTTAAATCCGAAGAACCAATTTTAAATAGTTACACATCATGTTTTGGTTATAAAGTAGGTATAAATCAAATATTTTAAAACCTAAGTACCGATTGGGATCCAAATCCGAAAGTATAACGGGTTATACCGGTTCCTTAAAAATTTACTAATCCTGACCCAAACCCCATAGAACCCGAACCGATCCTGAACCTAACTTTCAAATAATCCGAATGGAGCTGATTTTGATAAACCCAAAAAACCGAGACTCGATTGGACAAATCCGAAACCCGATTGGGACCCCGAATGCCCATACCTAAATAACCCTAAAAAATTCAATAATATTAAGATCCTAAACCCTAAGAATATATCAACACATTTGTATTTATACTAGTATCTACAATATATAGTAGTATCATTCAACATATTTCGTATAATAAACCAACCAAAATTTAGTTTCTACAAAATAATCGACAAAGAATTAAATAACATTCTCACAATTTAGCTATAAAGAGAACAGAAATATAGTTACAAAGAGAAACATAAATATAGTTAAAGTATAATAAATGTAAGTTTTAGTTGACAAAAACTGTGTATACAATTAAGTTTATATCAAATAATATTCCGTAAAACAAATAAAAATAACTGTTTAGTTTCTTCACAAATCATAACATATCATCTATATAGTGACTTATTTTTTGAAACAAATTTACAAAAAAAAAAAACAATTATGTGCTTTCAAATCGCGAGGCAAAACTTAGTTCACATTGAAATAAAATCTATTATTTAAATATCAAACTTACAACGAGCCCAACTCTAAACTTAATAGAATATATTTTGTAACCAGGTCTCCATATTATTTATAAAACTCTAGTGAAATTGTAACGTCCCGAATTATGATATATGGAAAGATTTAAGATGATTGATTTGGATGAAAGATTTAAGAAGATTGATTTGGCTACCTATGTCATCAAAGTGCACTTACCTTTTCGGGAGCACATCCAGAGAAAACTGCAGAGTTAAGTGTGCTTGAGCTGGAGTAGTCAAAGGATGAGTGACCTATCAGGAAGTGATTTGCGATAGTGTGTAAGTGAGGCCAAAGCACGGGAAATGATCATGTGGTGATTGGAGGGCCAGTAAACATGACGTTAGAGCCTTGGAAAATTAATGGACCGGCCGTTGGAACGGGATGGGCCCACGGTCCGAGAGAATGGGCGTGGGTGGCTCATTAGCCGTGGACGGTCGGAGCGTTACAAGTGGTATCAGAGCTGGTTAGCCATCTCAATTCTGACATGTGAGGCGTCTTGAGACTTGTCATGGGGCGCAACGAAGACATTGCGTTTTTGAGAAGGAGTGAACAATAACATCATGAATTGTAATATATGGAAAGACTTAAACGGATTGATTTGGCTAACTATATCATTAAAGTACACTTACCTTTTCGGGAGCACATCCAGAGAGAACTCCAGAATTAAGCGTGTTTGAGTTGGAGTAGTCAAAGGATGGGTGACCTATCGGAAAGTGATTTGCGATACCATGTAAGTGAGGCTAAAGCACATAGAAATGTCATGTGGTGATTATTGTGCTAGTAAACATAATGATAGAGCCTTGGAAAATTAATGGACTGGCCGTTGGAACGGGATGGCCCACAGGCCGAGAAAACGGGCGTGAATGACCCATTAACCATGGACGGTCGGGGCGTTACAGAAATACAAACAAAATTATGGCATGTTATATAATAATAGAAAGGAAGTTTCAAAAACAAATTAACAACATTTTACGAACAAACTAAATGTTCTCCATGTTTTGTAGCTAAAGAGAATCACAAGTGAGTTAACATATCAAAAACATGATTGATTGCGTCATGGACTCCAAGTTTAATAAGACTCTGGTTCAAGAAACCTACAATTGAGATATGGATCACGCAAAAGAGTTAAAATCAGTCATGCATGGAAGTTAACACAAGAACCTGATCGATACACTTCAAGAACCTGATCTCTGTGGAGTAGAAGAATAATCGATACATGGTGAGGATAGTCTACCATCGACAAGACAATCCACAATTGGGTAAGTGTTATCTGTGAAACAAGAAACAAAAAGTATAAAAGATATTTTCATATCATGGGGTTTTATTCAAAAAAAACAAAAATGTAGAAAGGATTATTTCTAAATCAGATTATGAAGCACTTGATGTCTTTGTTTTAGTGTTTTCCTTTCTTACAGTATATTTATGGGTTACAATATATTTTTTGAGTTGCAACTGTTTTTAGTTTTCTTTCTTTTTGGTAATATTCTGAATTTTATATGAATTTTGATATTGTTTTTATATGTGGTAAATTATTAGGGAAAAAATCGGTTCTAGAACCCATGCTGACATGCTTGGAAAGGTTCTAAACGCCCTGGTTTGAAGTCTGCCACTCTTATAAGTCGTGCACAAGTGAGATTAAGATATTTTACATGGTTTATATGCTTGTCCTGTCTCTAAGACTACTCGAATGACCCGAATTACTAACGTAGAAAGGAACTTCAGTAGAAGAAATCATGTTTTTGATATAAACCTGGGAAAAGAAGACGAAGCGAAGAAGCGAGTTTGTACACTATTTAAACGTTCGAGTTTAAAGTTCAACCACATAACATTTTTTTTTGTTATTTCGATCTGAAGATGTATATCTTGACTCTTGAGCCCAAAACCTTTTTAATTAATTAAAAGAAAATAAATTAGATGCGGATAATACACCTAAAGAGATGCGAATTGCTATTTATTTATGATTATTAAAAGCGGGGGAACCCGACCCGGTTATAAAGAAGGGGAAAAAGGAAAATATCGGAGGCCACATAAACTTGTGGCTGAGAAATGAATGGTGATGCTGACGTGGTACCCCCTTCCTCTTTTATACGGATCTAAATCCCTTCCTTCAACACTTCACCTCCAAATCTCCCAAATCTACGAAAAAAAATCATAAAAGAAAAGAAAAAAATATCACAGAGTGAGACAGAGAGAAGGAAACAGAGACTGACCACAAGCTTTTCATTCCCTCCCATAGCTCTGCTTTTTTTTAAAAATCGAGAAGGAAAAAAGCTTGGAAAGAAGAAATGATGATGGAAAGTAGAGATCCAGCTATTAAGCTCTTCGGCATGAAAATCCCTTTTCCCGCCGCTGTTTTTGAACCGACGTCGGCGGCGGTTGAGGAGGACCATTGCGACGGAGATGATAAATCACCAGAGAAGGTACTGATTGATTCATTATGAAAAGAGGATCAAGAAAAGCAATTTCTTGTCAAAAAAAATGAAACATGTTTTAAAGTAGTTTTCACTTTTAAGTCTTTGAATCCTCAAAACTCACAAATATGTTTTGTCTGAATCTCATTAACTTTTAAATCAGATTAAACCATGTCAGAATCCTCTGTTTCGAGCTCATCTTCATGTCCAAGACTTTTTTTTGAAACTCTCTGTTTTGTTTTGATGTCCTTTGGATCTACAATTTGTGTTATTAGTTTCCATCCAAGCAAAGTTCCCATGTTTTTGTTTTTGGTTCGTTAGTCTTAAAAGATTTTGGGATTTGATGAAGATTACTTTTTACTCATTAGTTTAAGAATAAATGTTTGATTCTTGCTCTAGAACTTTCTTCAGAGACTTTGTTTATTCATTGGTCCATTGCAAGTGTTCTTATTTTAACTGTTTTTTTCTTACCTCTCTCTCTCTCTCAGGTAACTACTACAGAGTTATCATCAGACAAGAAGAACATCAACTGTAACAACAAGAGTCTAAACAATTCGAATGATACCAAACCAGAAACAGGGGACGACAAAGAGGAAGAGACATCAGCAGAACAGATAGACAGCGATGAGAACAATCAGCAGACAACAGCAGACGGTAAAACCCTGAAGAAACCAACCAAGATTCTCCCCTGTCCGAGATGCAAAAGCATGGACACCAAGTTCTGTTATTACAACAACTACAACATCAACCAGCCTCGCCACTTCTGCAAGGCGTGTCAGAGATACTGGACAGCCGGAGGCACCATGAGGAATGTACCAGTGGGTGCAGGACGCCGCAAGAACAAAAGCTCCTCCTCTCATTACCGTCACATCACTATCTCCGAGGCTTTAGAGGCTGCAAGGCTCAATCCGAGCTTACAGGCCAACACAAGAGTCCTGAGTTTTGGCATACAAGCTCAGCAGCAGCACGCTGCTCCTGTCCCACCCGTGATGAAGCTACAAGTAGACCAGAAAGTCTCAAATGGAGCTAGAAAAGGGTTAGCGGATCAGCGGCGGGTTGAGAACGGAGATGATTGCTCAAGTGGATCCTCTGTGACTACCTCAGTGGATGAAGCAAGAGCACAAAGCAGCAGAGTTGTTGAACCACACAACAACAATATGAATGGTGGTTATGCTTGCATCCCGGGTGTACCATGGCCATACACATGGAATCCAACGATGCCTCCACCAGGTTTTTACCCTCCTCCAGGGTATCCAATGCCGTTTTATCCTTACTGGACCATCCCAATGCTATCACCGAATCAATCCTCCTCGCCCATGAGTCAAAAGGGTTCAAGTCCAAAATCTCCTACTCTCGGAAAGCACCCGAGAGACGAGGAATCTTCAAGAAAGGAGAATGAAACAGAGCGGAAACAGAGGAACGGGTGCGTTATAGTCCCGAAAACGTTGAGAATAGACGATCCTAACGAAGCAGCAAAGAGCTCTATATGGACAACATTGGGAATCAAGAATGAAGGTTCAAAATTGGGAAGCAAAGGAGGAATGTTCAAAGGGTTTGATCAGAAGACGAAGATGAGTGACAATGATAAAGCAGAGAACAACTCCCCTGCTCTTTCTGCTAACCCTGCTGCTCTATCGAGATCACTCAATTTCCAAGAACGGGTTTAGAGTTCATATACGTTGTATATATCTTATGATTGTTTGTATATACAGTATATTGGAGAATGAAGGTTTTGAGACTTCATCTCTTTTCTTCTTCCTCGTGACACTATTCCTTTTAGTCTCTCACTAGTCCTGATGTTTTGTGCTATGCATATGGTTTTGAACCAGACCAAACATTCCGAACTGAAGCAAAGTTTTTGGTTTTTAGTTCATGTTTATGGTTTCTGAACCGATTACCAAATTTTCAAAACTAATTCGATCATAGGTTCGGTGTGGCAATTAGTTACTTCGTTCTTCTTCTTTTGTTTTTACTTCGTTGTTGTTTAGCGTTCCAACTAAATCGATTCTACCAATATTTTAAAGGGTTTATTTGCTGAATTAACATAACTAAAAAACCAAAAACTTTGATTTAGTTGGATAACAAAATTGAATAATCAAATTAACTAAAAGTCTAAAACCAAATTGTAAATTTTTGGTTTTATTCGATAGATTTTTATTTCTTTGAATTGATCAAAAACTAAATTACTTGAACCAAGATAACTGAACTTCTTTTTTTTTTACATTCAAATCATATTTACACTGTACACTTTCCGGTTTGCTCTTTCTTTTCTGTTTTTTTCCTTGCTTTCTTTTTTTCTTCATTTGTTAAAATGTTGGAAAGCATTAATGGTAGAAAGTTGACAATGACCATTGCTGCGTTGGCCAATACAACCGACACTCTTCTGAGTTTTCTTTACTTGTTCTTATCTTGTGAACAGCTCTGCTAAACGGAAGATACTAAAAAAACAGCGACGATGCAAGTTCTTTTAGAAAGCTTGATGCAAGTTAACTGTGATCGTTGACAAAGAAAACTAACTATGATCTAATGACTGGCTCCGTGTTGTTTTGAAATATTTTATCTTCGAGTTAGCCATATCTTCAGAGTATATAAATAAATATTAATAATTGAAATAACACTCACTTATGAATCATTTTAGGGGGAATTGCCAAAACCAACCCAAATATTCATTTTAACCCTAAAGGTGCACCCCTTATTCAATCAATTGCAAACCCAACCTAAAGGGGTGTTAAAACTACTATTTAACCCTTATGAACAAACAAAAAACGTGCAGTATATTTTACGATTCTGTCCTTCGTAGGTCTACACTTTAAGAAAGAAGTCTACAACTAGGTNTTTAATAAATCATCAATTTAAAGGTTAGTATGAGGTAGATAAATTAAATTTTCTTATAATTGAACAATTTTAAAGAATGTATACTGATTTGGGAACTATGTGGTACACAATGTTAATGGTTTAGCAACCAAAGGTTCTAACATGTTATGTCTTTTAGAGTTAGATTCTTAGGGTTAGATTCTAGATTTATAATTATTTTATTATAATGATTCAAAATTGCATATTTAATGTTGAGTAGTTTATATTTTGTATATATGATATTTGGTACAATGACTAAGATTTGTTTTATAATCAATCAAACGTTTAGGGTTTGAGATTTGGGGTTTAGGGTTTGAGATTTCTGGTTAAGGGTATAGTAGACTTACAGTTAAGTCTACTGATATGTAGACGTCTATTTCAGTTTACGTTAATTTGTGTTTACCAAAATAAATTATTTTAAAATTAAAATTAACTAAGCGGGAAATGAAAATGAATTTTGGAGCCTATTTTTCCATATTGGCGCCAATATTTAGGGTATAGTAGATTTACAGTACAGTCTACTTATATGTAGACGTCTATTTCAGTCTACGTTAATTTGTGTTTACCAAAATAAATTATTTTAAAAATTAAAATTAACTAAGCGGGAAGTGAAAATGAATTTTGGAGCCTATTTTTCCATATTGGCGCCAA